GATCCTAACGTTGTCATTTGCTAAGCTAAGTTCGGTGTACGTCGCAGTTCAGAAGAATTACGTTGGAGGTTGTTCTAGATCTTGAGTACTTCCTACTAGAATTAGTAAGTGTTGCTACGCATTTTGTGGTACCTGTATATTCCAGTTCAGTGCTATCGTTTTAACAAGCACCCAGTTTTACAGCCGTTTGTAAGCTTCGCAGTACAGTTAAATCTAGATAGATAGCTCGTATAATTGTGAGATTAAGCTACCATGAGAAATGATGATCGTAACGTTCGCCATCAGTTGGAAGGTTGTTGGGAGTGTGGTGATATTGGACATTTTCAGAGGAACTGTCCGAGCAGATTAGCTGGTAATAGAGGTAGATATCAAGACAGAGGGTCTTCATATCAGAGTGGTTATGGCCAACAGAGTTGGAACAGAGTGTATAGACCTAACAGTCAGGTGCCTTTAAACTTCTAAAGGGTGGCCCTAGATTTAAGAGGAGGTCACCCGCGGTCAAAAACACACGTATTTATGAGATTGTAATGAGATTTTCGAAAGTGTCGTCTTCTGTCATCAGGAAGCTTCAGGAGCTTGCTAACTGTACTTTTACCACGAAGCATATCTCGGGGAAGAGAAACCAGAAGTGTGGTGGATTTAACCGCTTTAAATACCAGGGTTATGGTAAATCTCGAGAAAATGTAGCGAGCATTAGTAGCAGTTGCACTTTTAGTCTTGAAGCTGCCTTAGAGGGAGTAAACCGGGTGACACGTGAACATTATAGATGTAAACACCCGATACTGTTTAAGAGGCTGCAGGTACCGGTTAGCAGCGAGACAGTGGTTAAGGATGATTGCAGTAATATGATCGAGGAATCTTGCAATGAGTTGAGTGTTGAGGATAGTATGATTCCGGGGTTCTTGTTTGATGAGAAGTTTAGTGATGACCATAGCACAGTAAACGTTGTTCAGATTACGCCTGAAGTTGATAGCCACCATTGCAATTGTAGTCTTACTCAGGTTGATACTACAGAGAAGGCATCAGTAGTTGCGGGAGCAGTTGATGCGGTGGAAAATGTTTCAGCGGTTACTAGAGATGTAAGCTCTCTAGAGAGAGGGGTCTTGTGTACAGCAAGTAAGCCACCTCAGGCATACATTTACAATAAGGCTAAGAGCAGTGGAGCTGAGTTAAAGACGGACTCATCGGAGCGATTTGTAGATTATTCCGATAGTAATAGTGAAGAGGAGACAGATTTTCAACTGAGAAGAGCACCAGTTGTGAGGAGAAGAGAGGTTCATCCGAAGAAGTTTCGTCTGGAGAAGGATGGTGCAGCTAGCATTTACAAGCAACCTAGTTTTAGTTCAACTCCTAGGGCTGTTAATAGACCTGCTCAACTAGATCTGAATTCTATAAATCCTAGTTTTCGTACGGTAACACCTCTCACACATAACATTCCCTCAGGCGATAGTGTAGAAACAGTTGATAATTCTGCAGAATTCTTCACTCCAGCTAGAGAGAGATCGGCCGCTAGAAGATCATCGAGTCCGGTTGTTGGTGAAGGAACGATGGGTCATAGCAGTTCTATGTCATATGATACAGCGGGGCACGACATTGACACAACAGGATCGCTTTCTCCTGTGGATCTAAGAAGACAGAGCCCTCCGAGGGAGGAGCGCAGATATAACACTAGGAGACCTGAGGAACGGAGACAACCTGATCGTCTAGGATACAACGTTAGACTAGTTACGGATCTTATAAAACTCTTCAACCAGTAGAAGACGAGGAGATGCCCGAATAGGGAAGTACACTTACCTTTGGAATCTAGTTTCAGAACAGTATAGTCTTACTCACTTAGCTAGACTTTCTATTTAGTAATTAGCAGTGGTATAGTACCTTACTTAGGTATAACACGTGTTATCTTTCAGAACATTACTGATAGGGATTATAGGATCTTTACTCGCAACACGACTCGCTCAGGGCTGCTTTAGTGGCGGAAACGTAGAAACTTTCGAATTTATTTTGACTTCTTTGTTTGCTTGTAAAGGACGTTTTAGAGATTCCGATACATCTCTATCTAATGATGAAGACTCAACACCAAAGACTCTACAACTTGGTGCAAGAGGGAAGTATTTGAAAGTTTTAGAAAGTTTTGAAAGATTTGTGGAAGTCAATTTCAGTTTTAACTTTAGGATTTTGTAGGATTTAAATTTAATGCACAGGGTTAGGGCCGTGTTTTATATTTTGAAACTTGACCTATTTTTAAGTTTTGGACTTTTGATGCGTGGAAGCATTGAAATTTAAATTTTGAAAAGGGCGATTATTTTATTGTTTTAAAATATTCGAAAAAAATTTTTGGGTAGAGATGTTGTAATATGGTATTTAGAGATATCTTTTGGGATATCTTAGTTTTAGTATAACGTTTAAGGGACGTAGAATTTAGTATGTATTTCCGGGTATATAATAACCAATGTTTTTATATGTTCGTATTTGGGAGTTACACATTTTGAGTGTAAGTCGGTTGGCTGGCAGAACTACTGTCAGACTAACTGTCTGTAACGAGCCGTCCGCTCACTTTGCACCTGACTAACAGCCAGACCTGTGGTTGGTCCTCGCGGACGCAGGGTGACTGCTAGTGGAGTGCTTATTGGCGAGACGGCGTGTCACGTGGTACAAGCAGATGCGTTGTGCCGTCACGCAGTATGGCGTGACGAGTTTTGAGAGTATACCCGGAGAGCCGGATGTGAAGAGCTCACTTCTTAGTTGCCCCTTAATCATTTTAAGGGATTCGATTGTCAATAGCCAGTTTAACTGAGTACTATTCTCTGTGACTAGACACGTAGTGTGATCTATATTCACGGCAATCGCTTGGAGCGAACACTTGGAAGTTTTCTCTGTTGACGTTCACTTTGTATAACTTTCTCCTTTTAATTAATTATCCTTTTTAATATACTCGTTTCATTTCTACCTTTCGGTACGCCCTGCCGTTCGTGCTTCGTGACTAGAGCTTGACTAGCATACACTAAATACCAAGAGAACTCCGTTTTCTATATACTTGTAGTCTTCAACCACATTCCGATCAACTTGAAGATTTTAAACAGTAAAATCGATTCAAATCAAAATCAGTATAAAATAAGATAAAATAACGGTACAAGCAAAAACATAAAATTTGGCAGTGGAACAAAATAAAAAAGGTCGCAAAGTTAAATCACCACAGAATTTAACTAGCAGTAGGGTAATTGTGGTTGATACGTGGGTAGTGGACAGTAACTGGCTTTACTAGTCGGACTCGGAGCTAGTCTGGCTAGTTGCTCTAACCAGAGCCCTCTCGCTTGCAGTAGCGCGCCACACATGACTATGTGAAACTGGCTAGTCGGAGCACGGACCGCCTCAGATCACATGGATCTCCTACAACAACTCTAGGATAACAAACCTCTCCAAATAGTCCCTCAACAAGTGCAAGATAAGAAGTGCTCTGATAAAACCAGTGCAGGTCAGTCACATCTATATTTATCGTCCCTCCATTTACCGCGTCCCACCATTTTGATTTACCGCGTCCCACCATTTACCGGGTCCCTCCATTTACCACGTCCGATCCCACCATTTACCATGTCCCTCAATTAATACCAGGTCCCTTGATAGTCGATTCATAGACCACTTTTCGTTCACAAATGAGGCTTACGAAAGTTTGACCGGATAGTTAGCTAGAAATCTGACTTACACTAAATGAGGGGGGGGGGGGGGGGGGGGGGGGGGTTCTAACCGACATTCTACAGTTACCCTTTTTAATATTGTACAACTACAAGAAATTTACATTTATTAATGAAAAGGTGGCGTGGCTGGATCTAATTCCGGTGAATGAAAACTTGTCGTAATTAAAATGTACTTTCCATGCAGGAGCAACATTATATTATGTATTTTTTAAAGGAAGTTTAATTGATTGAAACAAAGCTACTCAAATTTTTTGCTCTAAATTTATTTTTCATACAATATAGTAGTTATACAGGGTGGGCCAAAAGTCAGTACTATGGCGGCCGAGATGGCTCACCTAAATTTTCACTGAAATTTTTAATTTAAAAATTAACTATACAATTAATCACAAAATAAAAACGATTTTGAATTTGATTTCTAAAATTATTTTAAAATTTAAATAAAAAACGATTTTCATATTGAAATTAAAAACAATTCTCATTTTGAAAACGGTTTTGATTTCGATTTTGATTTTGATTTTGATTTCAATTTTGATTTTCATTTTGAAAACGATATTGATTTTGACTTTGAAAACGATATCGATTTTGATTTTAAAAACGATATTGATTTTGATTTTGAAAACGATATTGATTTTGATTTTGAAAACGATATTGATTTTGATTTTGAAAACGGTATCTATTTTGATTTTGAAAACGTTTTTGATTTTGATTTTGAAAACGTTTTTGATTTTGAAAACGGTTTTGATTTTGAAAACGATTTTTATTTTGCAAACGATTTGCACGTACGTTTATATAGGTGAGCCATCTCGGCCACGCGCAAAAAAAAACATTTTCAAATTTGAAAATGAAAATGATTTTTCAATATCGTTTTCAAAATCAAAATCAATATCGTTTTCAAAATCAAAATCAATATCGTTTTTAAAATCAAAATCGATATCGTTTTCAAAGTCAAAATCAATATCGTTTTCAAAATGAAAATCAAAATTGAAATCAAAATCAAAATCAAAATCGAAATCAAAACCGTTTTCAAAATGAGAATTGTTTTTAATTTCAATATGAAAATCGTTTTTATTTTGTGATTAATTGTATAGTTAATTTTTAAATTAAAAATTTTCAGTGAAAATTTAGGTGAGCCATCTCGGCCGCCATACAGTACCCATACGTTGGCCTTTATAGCTCAGTCACTGAGTGCCCAATTTAAATACTTTTTTCTGGTATGATTTAGTACCACCACTGGTTCGAGGAATTTGTCAACTACATGTACATTTGAAAGTATTAGCATTCGCCACAATGCAGTGAAACCATACTCCGTATTTAAGAAAGTTATCAGTTGAAATCGTAAATGTCACAAATTGTATAAAAAAAGTTTCTCAATCGACCATAGAATAATACAAATGCAACCACATTTTACAATGCATATTGCAATATTTTGATTGATCAACAATAATCAATTTTTTGTTAGATCGATAAAAGGATGATGACAAATAACTTAAAACCGTTTGTATGAGGTATTCAACTTACAGCCTCATTAATTTTAATAAGTTAATATAATCATAACACATACTTAAAAGACTGTGAGAGAAGAACACAGCAAAAAAGATGTTGGCTCGTCCCCGGCCTAGGATTCAGTGTCTGTGTCGTCCCCGGCCTATGATTCAGTGTCTGTGTCGTCCCCGGCCTATGATTCAGTGTCCGTGTCGTTCTCGCAATCTGATTCCTCCGTATGAGTTTCCATGAAGTGAGCTATAAGTCCTGTTGTGATCTCGGTACCCTTAAAGTGCTCTGAAGAAATATAAATGTTGTGTTAGCTTAATCGGGTACGTAAAAGGGGGTTTACTCCAGCTTTATTGGCAGTATTAACCTTGGAGATTTGGTATTCAATAATAATGATTAACATGGTAAACATGATAAAGTTGACTATAAAAGATTTGAAGATTTGTAGAATCTTCAAAACCAAAAAAAAATAAATTCATTATTTGAGCGTAAGCGTATCAAATTATATTCCTACGACCTACATAGTACATATTCCAAATTCTTATCTACTCGCTTGTTCGAAACTTACCAAGCATTGTGAGCTCGAAGGCTTCGCACATTTTATTTCGGTGGAAGTGCCGGAAATGTTGTATAACACCCTCCGTCATGTTCGTGCCCACAAACCTTTCTGAAATGTTAAGTCCAATGAACACCAACAAATAGAATATCAAAATTTTAAATTTACTTTGCAAAAACTTAACATTAAATCGCACAGTAATTTCGTAAAACCTGGTTAGGTAATAAAACAATCAAACATAGTAAAAATAACAACAGAGAAAGCAGAAGCATTCTCAACTTCACTTACCCAACATATTCCAACTGGTGGTGAGTTGCTGGAACAGCTCATTTGAGAAGACCTTGTTGAAATACGGGGGAGTGAGCAGGATATCCCATCTGGTGACATTGTGGAATGTTCGAGATTCTTTAAACTTTCTCTCTATGTCTTTTAAGCCAGCGGAGCAAGTTTCCAGGTCATCACTTATAGCTCCTAGTTCTGCTTGTGTCGAGTTTAGATCTCCGGTAACTGTTTCCAATGAAATTTCAGTCCTGTTCATATCAGCAGTCACCTCATCCAGCTCAGCTGTCACCCCCTCCAAATCAGATGTTACCCCCTTCAGCTCCTCCTCTGTAGTGACCAGCTTTTCCTTCGTTACATTAAGCTGCTTCTTAGCTTCAGTGAAATTCAGTTGAGTTGACTCCAACTCTTCTTGAGTTGAATTAAGAAGATTGGCTAGTGTCTCCACTTTCTCCTCCGACCTACTAAGTTGAGCCTCTGTTCCGTTCAGCGTTCCAGTCACACTTGCCAGTTTCTCTTGTGACTCCCTCAACCGAGTATCTAGTTTCCTTATCCGCTCACACACTTTTACCTCAATGATCACTTTTACCTCACTCACAGACCCACTCCGTGATCTGTCCAGAATATCCTCCCATTGAAGGATCCTAGTGTCGGAAAATTCCTCTAAATCAAAACATAGTCCCCCTTCTGCTATTTTCTTTATTTCAGCCGACTCCAATACATTGGAATATACATTGAACTGATAAATGTCTCCTCCAAACATATGCCTAGAATGTCCACCACCATTAAGATTACCAAACCATAACTGCCCTCCCATCGTCAGCCTCCTCCCCGATGCTGTCTGGTCTGTTCCTACCAAATCACCGTCCATGTATAACTTTATTGTCCTGGACGCTACAGACCACGTTATGCAATAACTAAACCACGTGCCCACTGGTACTGTGAAAAGGTTGCGTCTGTTCTCCAAACCTTGATCAGCTACTACTCTGTTATACAACCCATCAGGCGCAATCAAAATCTCGTAATTGCTAGCAGTAGAATAGTAGTGAAACACTACCGGGTATGAAGATGTAGTGGAGATACGTTTGATCCACGTGCATACAGACAGAGAATCTCGGAATGGGGCCATATCATAGTTTAAACTAATGTGATCGCTAGTAGAAGTTCCAAAGTGCAGGGCAGTGTACTCCTTATCAGTTGATGCAACTACAGGCGGGTAGATAACACAAAGGAACAAGAGAAACATACCTTCGAGGTTCGAGTTTGAAATGAATGTAGAATTATTATGTTAATTAGTCCGGGGTATTCGGAGGCGATAAAATGGAACTTTCTGGAGCAAGGCTGATTACTCTTAGCATGAACTAGCAATGCACCGGGAAAGTTATAATGTTATATAAGCTAGCAGGGTGGCACGGCAAACCTTGTTTACCCAGGAATTCTCCAACTTGATGATTTATCTCGCATTAATTTTAGCATTCACTTGAAGTTCAGAAACCTTAATATGTAAATATGATAATAATGCAGGTCTGGTTTATAACTTTATATTATACGAGACGCCGAGACGGTTACAGCATGCTGGTTGTTGGTGGAATTAATAAAAAAGGTTACGAGATAAGACTACCACTAGCTTACAATTTTTTGTACTAATTTGATAAAAATCTGTTAATTATACTCCTAGTCCTACTTTATCAATTCCTGGGATTTCAAATTGAATTTCCTTCCCAGACAGTGCTGGCTTATTAAAGTTCATGGTTAACTAGAAATCAACGGGTGATTGGTATTGGTAGGTTATTAACCTACAACTAGAAATGTAATCGTGAAATTGAAGCTGAAGGGTTGTTATGGCTTATGCCCAGTGACCAGTGTGCCCGTAAGATTTGAGTGCAAGTACCACTATTTTGATATTGATCAAAATTACTAAATATTCTAGCACAATTGTAACAGCAGTTTTACAGAAGTCGACAAATGCACATAATAAATACCCTAGGTACAACCCGTATTTACACTTAGAATTGAGTTCGTTCATTTATTTACCGATGTGAGATTGGGGAGGACGACCGACGGGTTTCATATATAAGTATATATGATTATGATACAAAGAAAACTCCATTTACGGACGTGAGGAGAGTTGGGAATCCTCCAACTACATTAAATCAATTCCTTTTGTAACGTCCTGAATATAATTCCATGCAAAATGTCCAATTTTAAACACCCAACAGATAATTCCATGCAAAATTTCCAATTTTTAACTGCATTAAAGGAGCTAGCCAGTAGATGGGAATGTGTGAAGGCCCGTCATCAAGTAGCCCCCAGCCACTCACAGCACGCCCTCAGGTCACGTGACAGCACGTCACAAGGGTCACGTGACAGATCACATGTCATGTAACCACGTGACAAGCTCGTTAATTAAATGTCAAGGTCACGTGACAAGATAATTGACCAATAAGGAGTCAGAACGTCATGATGAATAAATTAATAATCCCGACTAAAGGATCTAAAGTCTGATTAAACGGTTGCCAAGTAGATTCCTGTTATTTGATCACTGGTTACGTGTTTAACTTTAGCATCACATGACATGAATGTTATTTGAACCTTGAGATCATGTGACAGACGTCATTTGATTACCCGTCACATGTTTAACTTTAGCATCATGTGACATGAATGTTATTTGAACCTATGAATGTTATTTGAACCATGAGGTCACGTGACATGAGTCACATCACATTTGACACTTCTCATTGGAAAATCTAACAATAGAAGGAACCCGGGACGTGTTCAATTGGCGATCCCTAGCAGAATACCTGTTCGATTGAATACACATGACCACACTACTTGTTGGCTTGATCATACTTTTAATCCTATGTACAAGTTTGTTGCAGCATGAGGATGATCATCAACTCTTTTTGCTTTTATTTGGTAGCCAATTAGTAATTCAATCAAGCAGGTATTCCGCAGGAGCCACCAATTGAACACGTCACGGATTCCTCCTACAACCATACGTGCAAAAGTTTTATTTATATGGGGAGAAATTGTAAAATATTTCCTTGTATTTTTCAAAAACTCTTTGGGAATGGTCGATAATTAGCTGTGCAAATGAACTGCATAACCAACCAATGTAATTTGGAACTGTCTCATTTTTTTTGAAACTCTTTGAATCTGATTTTGACTAGTGTGAAAGGATACAAGTGAAACGAACACATCAGATAAAAAGAAATATGAATCAACAATACATTATTAACAAGTATATAAAATTAACAAATATCTAAAATTTTTAGTAGATTCCCCTGCTTCCAACCTGATACATTGTAGACATTCCCAAGCTTTAGACTTGGAATTTTCTCATATACCAAGTTCTTGGGAAATATCACACAAATAAATGGCTTGGGATCATTTCCTGTTGATTCCAGAGTCAATGGAAGCAGTTCAATCCGATATCCGGTTGAGTGGAGATACTGTTTGGAGGTAGACAAGCAGCCTGGATACAGCCCTACATTGCAGAGAACACCAGGTTGCGCCAGCAAGCAACTGATGACTTTATGAGGGATTACTACAAGCTGCTCAATAATGCATTTTTCGGTAAAACCATGGAAAATGTGCGGAAACGTGTCAAAATTGTCCTTGTAAACAACAGTAGAGGTCATTTTTGGCAGACCTCCAAACCTACTTTTAAGCGTTTTCAGATTTTTAATGAAAGCCTTGTAGGTGTTGAGCTTGCACAAACAAATTTGACGCTTGATAAACCAATTTATGTTGGTTTTACTGTGCTGGAGTTATCAAAACTCCTAATGTTTAAGTTTCATTACACGGTCATGCAAGCCAACTTTGACAAACTGGAACTATGCTTCACTGACACAGACAGTTTCCTTTACCACATTTACTGCAAGAACCTGTACTTGGAACACCTGGAGAGGCTAAAGAATCACTTTGACTTCTCAAAGTATCCTAGAGATCATCCGCTGTATTCAGATACAAACAGAGCAGTAGTTGGAAAATTCAAAGACGAAACTAATGGAGTAGCAATCGTTGAGTTCATAGGCAAGTTATTGTTTGTAGTTTAGTGGTTAAATTTAAAAAAGTCCATAAACCTTCAATTTCTTTGTTATTCATTTCAATAGAAACATAAGTTATATTAACCAAATTCATTCTTAGGGCTTCGCTCAAAGTGTTACTCTATTCTAACTGGAGCTGGAAAGCAAAAGAGCACGGCTGCTGGTGTGAAACACAATGTCCGTAACCGAAAACTGAACCATGATCTCTATAGACAAGTCTTGTTCAACACAATGAGAAATCCTGATACAGAAGATTCTGACACAGAAGATCACTTTATAGAGCAAAAGACTTTTCGATCACAGAAACATGTGATTTTCACCATAAATCAGAGAAAAGTTGGACTAACAAGATATGATGACAAACGATATATTTTGTCAGATGGGGTATCAACACGTGCACATGGAAATTTTAAAAATGTGCAAGGTGGCTGATGCTTTAAATTTCATTTTTGGTTCAATCTTTCTTTTTTTTTTTTTTTTTAGTTTTAATTGATTTTGTAACTTGTATATATTGTAATGTTAGATATTCAATTTATTTAATAATTTGTTTATGAAACGGTTGTTTATTTGACTCATGGGAAAAGTAAAACAGTTCAAATTTAAATCAAAGTACAAAATAAGTACATGAATCATATAATTATAATTTTTAATCTCTATTATATAATTTCATGATTTTGATATCATTAGATCTTAAATTAGTGGTAAAATCATGAAACACTTTTGAAAATTTAACTCTTTTTTCTAACTGCTTGATAAAATATACACAGTATTCTCCACACGTCAAACTATGAAATCCTTGCAAAACCTGATCCTGGAAAGCTATTTTCTTCCCCAAACAAAAACGTTGCAAACTTGTACGGTAGTCTACAGGGAAGGAACCATTATCATATAACCTTCCAAAAGAATCCAGATAATAACAATTATTCCCTCTAATTACAAGCGCAGTCCAATGTGATCCAGGCAATGTAGAATTATCCACATTGATTACGATTGAATATTCATTATCCCCAAAACTTGGAATTTGGTCACATGGAAAGGTTCCTTTAAACGTTGGCTGATTCTTTAGCAAATCATCAATCTCATCAGTACTCAATGCTGTCGACCTCAAGCTCATAGCACCTTGATGCTTCTATCTGAGTTAATTTCAATGATTCGATCGTAGTAAGCGTAAACTAGCAGAATGAGTCCCTCAGCTGCAGCGTTATCAAACTCAATGTTCAACTTGACCTCTGCACTTTTACTTAGGTTCAGATGATGCTTGTTGGAATTCCGGTCAGCTGTCAAGTCTACAGCAAGCAAAGGATGGATGTGATAATTGTGTGGGGTAATTAGACACTCCCTGTCTGTGTCTTTATATCCAATTGCTTCAAAAAAGGCATCAAATAACATTGTTTTACCCTGCAACGCACTTGGATAGTATGGCTTCCCTCCAACATAGACTTGAGCTTTTCTTATACTATGAAACGTGTATGGATTCTTGTTTCTTACATTTCCATAGGCAGCTCGATCTTGTACAGCAAATGTAAACAAAACAGGTAAATTACCTTGAGGAAACAGATTGTTTATAGTTACTACTTCATTACCAGCAGGTATTGAATGGAAACTAACTTTACCCTCCTCCGCTTGATAAACAGCAGGTGCTTTCAACAGCTTCTGTTCAATCAAGTGAAGACAAATGTCACTAGGCTGTTGATAAGTTACTCTCAGATAACATTTATCAAATTTGATTTTATGGGCCCCATCAGCAGCTTCTAAAAGACAATAACCATCATAATTCTTGGTCAAGGATATGCGGACATCTAGATTGGTTGGAAGCAATTTCCCAGTTTTGAATAAACTACAATTCAAATCTGATATTAGGGTTACAGATCTGCCTCCTGCAACTTTGTGTGCTCTTTCACGCATGCTTTTGTTTACAACATTAGCAGCAGGATGAATTATGCTACTTTCAGAGTTCGCCTTGCTTGTTGCTTCATCCATTAGAAACAGTTCTTTCATATGCAGGTAATGTGATCGTCTCTTTGGTGTGTTCAACACAATATCAAAAAAAGATCCAATGTTATAGCTGTTATCAAAGCTCTGTAAAATATTTTGCCCTCCTATAACAACATCCACAGACCGCCAAATAGCGTTTGCAAGGTTTGATACTACCGAAACATTGGTGTTTGCAGCAGGAGCCTCTCCAGCTGCTGTCAATACACGGATTTCTGTTATGATTTCAATCTTTTGTAACATAAGTTTTGAATTGGCTTTGATCAAAAATGACACAGTATCCGAATAGTCGATTCCTGTCTGGGGATATACTTCCTCAACATGAGTCTCAACTATGGAAGTTTGAGTATGAAGCGGGTTCCATAACATCAAGTTAGATGTTATTGCTTCTGAGCTGTTCACATACTTTGTCATGATCCTAGTGCGTCAGTCTTTCTTCGTTTTCCGTAAGAACTAAATTTATGTTGTGCTTTACTTGATAGCTGTTGTACTTTATCCTCTGCTACACGAGTAAATGCGTCAGCGCCTGATTTAGCAACTTTTTTAAGTTCAGGTTTAGCCAACTCCCATCCCTTATATAGTAGTTTTTTACCGATGGGCATTGCAAATTTCAGAGCACTGCGAAAAAATCCTCCGATGCCTCCACCAACTTGATTATTGGAATAGATGTATGATCCATGACCATACCCCCCTCCAGCTTGGTTATTAAAATATTGATGGTATATTTTGTAGGTATCTCTGTCAGGAACATAAATTTGTCTCATTTTGCTATAGCTCTGGCAATCTGTTTAATCTTTTTCGGCTGCTTCTTTTTACCTCGCTTTTCAACCCTGACTTTTGATATTTTACTACCTCTCTTCACAGATTTAGAAATCAATTCAGAAGGCACTTGAATCGGTATTTTGGAACTTTTGTCGGCAGCAACAAGTAAAAATCGCATTGTTAAATGTATCTGAATTCATTTCCTTATATAGAGGGAACATGCTTTTTCCTAAGTCCAAGAGTTAAAATCACAGGAAGACCTGTAACAAACTGCACCAAATCCCCAAAAACATTACGAATATCAAAAGCAATGTTAATGAAACTTGAAGAAGATACATCATGAAAAACAGGATTTTGAACTTCTAGCATATAATAGCCACCGTTTCTACTAGACTTGATTGGTACAGTATCAAGTAAACGGGACACATTATAATTAATCAAAGAATTTGATACTATAGAACTATAGATAAAGCATATTTGATCCTGTGCAGTTAAATCATAATTTTGTATCACCAGCGATCTAGCTGAAAAGTTCTTTATTCTAAACTCCAAAAGATCTAGTATATTTCCAGGTTTATCGTCACTTGCTGTGAAGTTGAGTTTTTTATCAATCAGCTGCATGGTTAATTTGGAATGATCGGCACTTCCACTCGCTCCTTGATATCTTAGGTTAACCTTTAAGTCGATAGCTTCATCTTCATCATGATTTTCTTCAAAAGTGAGAACTTGATATATTGATTGAGCAAGATCATGGGTAGTTGGATAAAAGTTCTGGGGAATCTCAAATACAAGCTTTGAGTTAACATCATCCTTTTTAACAATATAGAGCTTATTGTTATCATTTGAAACGTTAAAGATGGGAGGACATGCAATTTTCAACAATCCAATTTCATAGCCCTCGGACAACTGTATTGAATTGGAAAAGTTTGATATAAAACTTGCTGGATTTTGCCCAAGACTCGTTACAGTTATCACATCCATCATGTCATGTAACTGTTAATAACCAGGTATACTTATATAGAGGTACATTAGACAATCATTGGAATCAGAGGTAGCAACATGCTTAGGACAGTTTTGAAAAAAGATCCGCCTTGTTGACTGACAGATTTCTTGATGTGATATGCGGATCTACTTCCTGCTATTGTCCGAATAAGTTTTTTGTGTCTTCTCAGCTGTTTAACATGATGATCCTTCAGGGGTATGGTACCATCCAATGTAGACTTGGCAACAGATCTAATAGTATGAAGAAATTTCTTGGGTGAATTGTTGATAATTACAAGAGCTTTCTTTGGTCCAATGTGAGCTAGTGTTTGAAGTGCTTTATAATTGTCTTTTAGATGTTTTTTTCTGTCAGAAACACGCTTGGACATTGTTTAAAAAAATCCGAAAGCACAAGCAATTCCTCTGGAACTTTTGGATGAAATGACAACAAAACGAATCCAAACTGATTGTTTTTATTGTATTCATAGGCCTCGAGAATCCTTAAATAGTCCGATCCAAGTATTTGACGGGCTAATCTCGTAAGTTGAGCCAAGTTCCTCTTGTTTCTCATGATCAACATATATTGACAATTGGCAGACATCATTCTATAATTATCATCATTGAGAAATATTGAATGTGAGATGTAGATTGTAGTCGTCTGAAGGTGATGACTACCTCTGATGAAATGGTTGGCTAGATCCTTATTTTGGGATAAACAAAGATCATCAATAATGAGAAGCTTTGGACCGTTAAATTTGTCAAGAATCTCCAGCTGCAGACCACAGACAAATTCAATTTTTGGGTTATTTTTATCCTTATTCCAGGTGTCCATAAAACTCTGCTTTGCTCCGTAAAGATATATCAAGTGACGGGGGAAAGGTTCAATCAACCTTTGTCTGATTATTTCTAACACAGTTGTTGTCTTTCCAGATGAGGTAGCTCCAACAACCATAATATTGGAATTTGCATAGAACTTCAACATTATTGTAATAGGAAACTAGTCACAAATTCATTCAGATGCAATTGTCTATACTTTTATAGATTTTTTTTCTCATTATTGTACAAAATCAAGACATCTGCTGAAGTTCTTCTCGATAAAATGATCCTAAAACATCCTCATCGTTAAGATCAGTTAGCAAATATGTTATCGGAAAATTTTGTCTCTCAACTGTTCTAATTTTAAACATTTCCAATGTCCACTTCTGCACAGCTTCTTTTGATAAGAAACCCTTCGTTTTGGCTATCCGCACCAAATTTCCAACTTTGAGCAGTCTCTTGCGATATTTTTCCTCTCTAATGGTTTTCAGATATTCGCTATTCTGATATATGCGCTTCAATAGTTGTTGTACATGTTCAGGTCGTACTTCATTAGGTTTCATACCAATGGTTCTATGCTTGGAGTTATTATAGCTTTCCACCAACTGTGGTAGAACATCAATCCATTTTTTTGTATTGCGTGCTGTAAATACTTTGAAAAGCCTTCCTCTTATTGTCCTCTGTACCCTCTCAACTATGCTTGCCTTCTTATCTGAGTATGTGCTATACAATGATACACCCAACGCACTTAGAATTTGCTTGAAGGAGCTGTTGTAGAATTCAGTTCCATTGTCAACCTGTAATATTTAACGTTATACAATCATAATTTCATATCATGTGTTTTATAATGTATGATTTATTCAAAAATATATACAACATAATAAACCTGTAATTTTTTAGGACGCTCTGATGTGAGTAACGGTGTTAATGCTTTAGTGAGTTCTAGACCCGTTTTTCGCTTTAGAGGGTAAGCCCATAGCTTCTTGGACAATGTATCAATAACAA